CCAGCCCCCAGGCACCAGCTGAGGGAGCTTCTGGCCCCCAGCGGGAGGGGGCTCCCCTCTGTCCTGCACAGACCCCACCCCTCCAAAGGGCTAGTGCAGAGGCCCGTCTCCTGCACCCCATCAGGCCCTGAGCGCTTCACTGAGTCTAGCCTTCCAGGGGGCCAATTAGCACCACCATTGGGGGCTGTGGAGCCAAGGGGATGAGTGGCCCGTGGCTCCCTCCCTCCATAGTGCCAAGCGGTGGCTTAAGGGGGCAAGCTCCTGTGGGTCTGAGGCCAGGGCTTTCTGCTTGCCCCCCAAGGGAGCTGCCTGCACAGGACCCCAGTGGCAAGGGCTGCTCTGCCACCTGTGTGTAGCCTTTGGTCCCACAGGACTGTGTGCAGCCACCTGGCTTGGGGAAGCAGGAGCTCTGGCCCCCCTGGGATTAACTACAGCCAATGTGTCTGCAGAGAGCCAGGCAGCAGCAGCCCAGCATCCCCCCTGCCCCCTTGGGTTCCAGCAGGGCTGTTGGGACCTGAGAGCAGGGATTCCTGAGGGGGCTGTAGATGGCTCCTGAAAATCTGCTGGCAAAAATGCTCTCTTGTACGGACAGTCTCAGGCCCCCGGGGGCAGGGCTGGCAGTGCAGGGTCCAGTCTCCCCCACCCCTCCCCCAGGCTCTAGTGCCTTGGACATGCACTAAACGAAACAAAAAACAGGACTATGTAGCACCTTAAAGACTAACAAGATGGTTTATTAGGTGATGAGCCACCTAATAAACCATCTTGTTAGTCTTTAAAGTACGACATAGTCCTGGTTTTTGTTTCAGCTAGACTAGACTAACACGGCTACATCTCTATTGCTATTGGACATGCAGGTGTGTGCTAAGGGATGCTCTTCCTCCTGCCAGCTTGTAAGTGACGTATCAGTCCTGGCTCTTGGTTCAGCCCCGGGCAGCCTTCCAGCAGGGCATATGTCTGGAGTGGGGCTTCTGCCCAGGAAGAGACACACTGGGGCCAGCCAAGAACCATGTGTACAGGACTCTTTCTAGGGGTGTTTTCTGTGGGATACAGAGCTTCAACAGCCCTTCCCCAGGGAGCATGCTGCTTTCATTATGGGGCCAGGTCTGGGATAGAGCTTTGGGAGACAGCACCTAGGATTAAATCAGTGGTTCTCAAAGTGTGGTCCACAGTCTTGAGGCTCCCCTAGTGGTCTTTGACCACCTTGCAGGTGGGCCACGGGCTTGGGGCTCACCTCCCCTGCAGCAGGTAGCCTGCGCTGGTGCTCCAGCTCCATGCCCCCCACCGTGAGGTTAGAGCACCAGCACCAGCTTCCTGCTGGTGGGGGGAGAGGAGGGAGCTTTGCAGGTTGGATTAGGCTTGTGAGGAAGGAAGTGGCTCCAGCAGGAGGAACAGCAGCGCATTCACCTGGAGGCTTTTCCCACTGCTCCCATTGGCCAGAATCACAGCCAATGGGAGCAACAGGGGGCAGAGCCTGGGAGTGGCAGGAGGCATGGAGCCACACAGCACCCTCCATCTCCTTCATGCCCAGACCCCATACCTCTATCCCACACACATACGCCCCTCCCACTGAGACCATGCTCCCCACCCCACTCCTGCACCCACCTTTCCACCCAGACCCCTCACCTCTAGCCTGCTCCTACACCCACCTCCTGGCTAGACTGCACCCTTCACCCCCTCCTGCACCCATTTTGTTATCATGGGTAGTTGGCTGGTGGTCCATGGAAAGGCCTGTGTTGAGCGGGATGGGCCACGGGCCAAAAAGTTTTAGAGCCACTGGGTTAAATAATCCAACCATCATCACCTCTGGCTCGCAGCATGTGAGAAACAAAGCCATGCCCCTTCCACCACATCCAGCAACTGGAGGAGAGGAGGCCAAACTGCCATGACACTCAAGGATTAGAGTCCAGACGGGGAAAGACCCTGAAGCACATTCAGCTCCTGATCTCCTCCCTCCGTCAGTGGCCATATGTTCCCCAGAGCAGGGAGGGGAGCAGTCAGGGGACCATTGCCAGCCCTAGAGGAGACATGTATCACCCACGGATCCAGAAAACTTGTAAGGGAGCCCTGTGTTACTATCATGCAGCCCTTGCGGGGGTGTGAAACCTACCTGCTGTTTTTAACAGCACCTGGCAACACAACTAAAACTACAAGGCGAGTCGAAGGCTGGGTCTATACTGCAAGCATAGTGATTGGGTCGCAAGTAGGCATATCCCTGCTAGCTCTCATCCAGCAAGCCGAGGGCAATAAGGGCAGCAGGGACTAACTACAAGAGCCAAGCTCTCCTGAATCTAGCCTGTGCCAGCTTGGACACTATATTATCTACATTAGCTAAATTAAGGCTAGGGTGGGCGTCCTTCCCCATGCGACAGTCACATCTTCACTTGCTTTGTAGACTCACCCGTAGGGCTGAGATGTAATGTCCAGCTGAGGTAGAGATAAGCGAGCACTGATTGAGCTAGTGAGTGGAATAGAGGCTGCACAAGCAAGCTGCCCCAGGGCAATCCCCCGGGATGCTGGAGCCCACCTGGCCACCCCAGTGGCAAGTGCCGCCCTGCTATTGTTAGCTTGCTAGCCAGATCAGAGCTAGCATGGGGATGTCTGCCTGACCTGGAAATTAGGTTGGGTGCCCTCACTTACCTCTCATTTCCGACAATGACAAGTGGCTGAAGCGAACATTCTGCGCTCAGCGATGGCACCATTCAGCACCCTTGCTGACAGCCTCAAGCTACGCCCAAGGTCCACGTTAGCCTTGGAGACTCAACTCTCACCTCAGGGCTGAACTTTCCAAAAAGGGTTGAGAGCATCAGCCTGGCTGCGTTGGGAAGTTCATGCAACCGTTGCCTCGGTTTCACTGGTGCTGCAGCTGAACAGGGTTTCATCTCCCAGTTCCATCCAGAGGGAGCAGCCGCTGAATTCACTTTGATGGGAGAGTAACAATGAATGGCCATGATGCATCAGGACTGTTTGGTCTTTAGTCTAGACAAAAGAATCCAGAAGATAGGCTCAGAGATCACTACAAGAAATGCCCAATTGTAATCATCCTGACAAGCCACTGGATGTCAGTGTTGATTGATACTAATGAAGCTGAAGGAATATTTACCCAGCAGAAGAAAACCTGTCTCTCTCTGCATCAAAGCAGCTTGAATGTGGATGAGGTTTCCTCGCATATTAGGGTTCTGCCTGGTCTGTTCTTGGACAAGAGACCTCCAAAGAAACCCAGAGTGGTACAGTTTGGCCACCATTCCCTCAGTCAGTACGGTCCAGTGCCCCAACCTGGCACGAAGGAGGCTGTGTTGTTTGTGTGTGTACGGAGGTCACGGGGGGAGGGGGAGAACCTCATCTGTCTGACTAGTGACCACAAGCACTCAGGACCTCGGTTGTAAATCTAAGCAACCCAATGCACTTTTTGCAACAGTCAGAGCAATAGCCGAGGTGTTTTGGCTTATTTCTGGCTGGGTAATTACATTGCACCTGGCTAACGCTTCCCTTGTCGTTTCAGTTGGATGCAGTTTTCACTGACAGCCCTGAACTGTTGCATAGCATTTGTGCGTGCTGTCCAAGAGCTCCTGGGCCCCGCTGTAGAAAGGGCTGCCTTGCTGTGATGTGGCACATGAGCTTGCTGTTTCATTCCATGCAAGGGGCTTCACTGAAATAGTTCAACATGAGAGTGGGTCCAAGCAAAAAAAAAAAAAATCACAGAGGTGTGGCAATGTAGTGGCTCTTGGCAGGGGCCAGGTCTTGTCTGGTTTAGTTCATACACAAAAGCAGTTTCATCAGATCCACTCTTTACCAGAAGCCAAGAACCTGCTGACCCTATCATTTATATTACAAGACAACTTACTCAGCGTTGCCTGGGTCCTTCAAGACAGGGCTGGTGGTGTGGGAGCTGCAAGAGTCAGGGCAGGAGGTGTAGGGGGCGGGAAGTTAAGGAGGAGCTCAGGGCGGGGAGCTGGGGATGTGTGAGGCGCAAGAGTGAGGGTTGGAGGGTGACGAGGGGTTCAGAGTGGTGGGGTCCCTCTGACAGGGGCCTACTCTCTCCCTCCATCCTTTCCCCCAGTTGGCAGGAGCCTTCTCTCTCCCCCCAGTCTAGCAGGGCTTTATTCCTTACCCCTTCTAGCACTGCAACAAAGGGCCAGGGGAAGAGGGGCTAAGGGCGTGGGGCAGGGGGGCTACTTACTCGGTTGGGTGGCAGGCAAGATGCCCCAGCCTCAGCCCCAGCTCCAGCCGGTCACTGCCGTGTTGCTCTTCACTGCACTCACTGCCCTCAGTGGCCACTGTGGGTTTCACGTCCCGCCTCTCTGCCCCCTCCATCTGCAGGTTATGGGAAATAGTCCTATTCCCAGCACTTCCCATTTTCCTGGCACAAGCAAACTGTGACTTTGCTTTAAGTTAGGCTAAGAGGAAGCTGCCTACCAAAATTGTTGGCCCTGCCTCTTACTGTTTAGGAGGAGTTCTTAGACGAACGGACTCACAGACACACTTTATGTATGTAGCACTGAGGAGTCTAGCAAGATCCGGCAGCATTGTGCTATGTGTTGGACAAGCACACAGGAAGACAAGGCCCTTGTTCTAACAGGTGGTCTCCATCTTTGCCTCCTCTGATGCTAAAGGCTGGTGGCAGAAAGGCTGAAGGCAGCAGGATACAGTTTGGAAAGGTGGTGGTGGTGGTGGGGGGGGATTTAGGGTCTAAAAGGCCAGTCTCACTCCCATCTTATTGAACTCAGACCAGCAGAATGGGGCTCACTTTAAATACTAGCTCAGCTGCAAATATTAAAAGGTGTCAGTTGGTTATTAACACTGCCCTTCCAAAACTGGGTGCAGTGACAACCCCCAGCTCCTGGCTCAGTTCTCCCTGCCATTCCGAAATTCTGGCATCCCTCGTTGGCCAACTTGAGCCCTGAGACAGGGGCATTTAGTGGCTGGATTAGCCTGCAAGGCCCAGCCATTCAGGCTATCTCTAAGACTGCAGGCTTCTTTCGGAAGCTTTTCCGGAAGAGAGCTGAAAAAACTTCTTCCAAAAAAGAGCGTCTACACAGCAAAAACACATTGAGAAAGCAATCTGCTTTTTTGAAAGATAGTGTCCACACTGATTGGACGCGCTTTCGCATTTAAGCTGTGATTACTATGGATGGAGAGGCTATCAGGGCACTTGAGCTTTTTCCTCTTTCCTTTTCTTTTGAAAGAACTCCCTCTTCCCCATCCACATGCGCCTTTTTCTGAAAGAGCACTTTTGGAAAAAGGCTTCTTCCTCATAGAAAGAGGTTTAACCATGTCAGGAAAACCCCTTTGATCTTTCGATTTGTTGTCAAAAGAACATGATTGCAGTGTGGATGTAAGTGACATTTTTTTTGAAAAACAGACCTTTTTCCAAAAAAACCTCTGTAGTGTAGACATACCCTCAGAAAGCAACATAGCAGCCACCATGGAAAAAGCATCAGACATAAGAGGTCGTTCCTACAAGCCATCCTATGCTGGCTGCCAGAGGACTCACACTGCTTTGTATCTACTGGCCCATTCGCTGGACTGTGTCATCTAAGGGTATGTCTACGCTACAGAGTTTTGTCGGAGAAACGGCCATTTTTCTGACAAAACCTATGTTAAGTCCACACTGCAATTGCATTCTTCCTAAAGTAAATCAAAAGAACAGAGGGTTTTTTTCGACATTGGTAAACCTCTTTCTCCGAGGAAGAAGCCTTTTTTGAAAGAGTTCTTTCAGAAAAAGGAGTGTGTGGATAGGGAAGAGGGAGTTCTTTTGAAAGAAGAGGAAAGAGGAAAAAGCACAGGTGTCCTGGTGGCTACTCCGTCCATAGCAATCACAGCTGAAATGCAAGATAGCGTCCATTCAGTGTGGACGCTATCTTTCAAAAAAGAAGATCGCTTATTCGATGCCCTTTTGTGTGTGAACGCTCTTTTGGAAGAAGTTTTTTCGGAAGAAGCCTGCAGTCTAGACATAGCCTAAGAGACATCTTTGTTAACTGTACTGTGGGAATGCCTAGCACCCATTGTGAAAACATGTAATAAAAGGGACTCAATTCTTTTATAGAAGGACCAACTGCTCTTGTCTACCTGCAGTCATGAGCCTGTCGGTCTCTCTCTTGACATTTAATGCATGCAAACAAGCCCTACCAAGATTTATCTAGCCCCGCTCTTTAATAGAGTAGACATTTAGGAGCGGATTTTTAAAGGCTTAAAGATGCAGATGAGATTTTAAAAAGAGCACCAATCTGCATCTGTCAGCAACTAACCTTTAAAAGTCAGGCCCTTGGAACCTGATCCAAACTTCACTGGAAGGACCTGTCTGAACTCAGGATAAGGCCCTTGCTGCTGTGCAAAGTGTATGTAAAATGCTCCTTGCAAGCTTGTGAGTGTGTAATGAAGTTTATTCTTGAAAATAAGGCTCTGTACTTGGCACATCGCTGCTGCCCTTCTCAAATATCGATACATCAATTCACACGCCCATAAAACTCCCCCACTAGAGGAACATACATCCGCCATAAAACTATCACCGCATGCAAAGTGCAGTCATTCCCGCCTCCATAAAACTCCCTCACCCTTCTGTATGCAGAGGATCAGATCATTAGCAATACAGGAAAAGGCACCTAAGCATCTTCACTGCCTCCGGGAATTTGAGGGACAAACCACAAGTGAATATTAACTTCACTGCCCCACCAGCACCAGCAGTTTGAAAGCAGATTCATAGGGCATGCCTGATGTATGCAGCATGCTGGCTGCACGCAGGTGAAGCTAGCAGCCCAGGCACGGCAGTCTGGCCTTGAACAGGGAACACCAGTCCAATCCAGCTGCTAGAGCACTATAGTCTTCATCAGGCTCTTCCCCTTTCTGTTATGCAAAATGTAGCAGGTAGATATGATGATCTCTATGTTAGTCAATGGACAGGCCTTGCAGATCAGGCATTCCTACCTTGCTTTTGGTTACAGCTCTGCCAATAACTGATCTTAGTTCACTGGTTGTCCTGAAAAATTGAAATAAGTTTTTGGCAAACTTAAAAAAATGTTTTGGGTCAAATGCAATGTCTTAGAAGGTTCTGATCTTTTTAACACTTATAAATTACATACAAATCAAAGTAAATTTCAAGAGAAAAATGTTGCCTATTGAAAAATGCAGCTCAGAAGATGTCAAAACAAGATGTTTAGATTCTTTTTGATTTGATGTTTGTTTCTGTTTTGACTGAAACAATTCAGCAAATTGGAAACAAATTAACAATAGTTTGTGGGTGACCGAAATCAGGCTTTTTTTTTGGGGGGGGGGGGGGGGGGAGGAAGAAACAAAAAGAAACAATCCCTGCCCAAATGTTTGAATGAAACTTTTTTCCCCCAGCTCTGCCCTCACTTTTCTATGTGCACCTCCTGTGTCTGCTGAGTGCATAAGTGAATTTGCATCTCCAGGCACATGTGCAATCAGTGGAGCATGGTAAAAGGGTGTGAGCAGGGTGCGTCACCACAGGGGTACAAACAGCCCCGTGGTTTTGGTGGAATAGGATCGCCTTTTGCTCTCTCTCTGGGAGAGTCAGCTATCCCACCAACTCAGTGTGTTGTTGCCTGCTCTAAGATTGCTTATGAATTGCCAGTTACTATGTTTAAGGTTGACAAGCCCTTTGTCCCAGGACCAGGCCCAGTATTCAATTATTCTATGGTTGGGAACTGTGATGTGCACAATTGCAACACTCTCACTATAGGAACTCTTGTATTTTTACAAATATAGTTTCTCAATACATTTAGCACAGACACAAACACCCCAATTTCATAAGATAAATAGGGAATGTACATCTATATTTCTATACCATACTCACACCATTCCGTCTAGCACAACCCGAGGTGTTAGCCATCGTCTTCCTCAGCTTCTGCACCTTCCCCATCATCACCGGTGGCCGCTTGCTGGCACCTCCCAAGGACTTCATCTCCTACCAACCCTAGGCAGGGATGCCACTTATGTTACACTGTTA